GCTCAAAATATCTGAGAATAAAGCATCAATAATGCCCGAATCTGGGTCGTCCAATACTGGAAGGACGGTAGTGCTGGGGGCCTGTGACTGTGACTGTGATTGTAGTTCCGATGTTGAAGACCGTCCTGCTCTCGATGCCACTTTTTTGTAGCTGTAGTATTGCTTCTTGCTTTCCACTGCTATCATTCGAGCGTGAGTCTCCCAAAGGATGTCGCCGAAACGGCCTTGCAATTTTTTGCAGCGAACAACGATTTCCATCTTTGTCTTCAATAAGAATGTCATCCTCAGCTTTGTAGAAAGTAGCTCTTTGCTTGAACTCAACTTACTACTTACTACTTACTACTCAACTTACTGATTGATTATTGAACTACTGAATCGGCACTCAGAAAATAAGAACAACATAAACATAAGATTTAGGATTTATCCAAACTCTCCAACCCAAATCCAAATATAACCAAAACACCACGTGTGGTCGAAACAACCTTTGGTCGACCAGTGGGAGCTTGTCCATTTGTTTCCGTCCTTGATGATGAACTAGACTCTTGGTATCTGATATGAATCTGCCACGAAATAGTTCTTCATGTTGTTCCGGTTGCATTCTACAGCGAAGCACGGAAAGTCCTGTATACGTAGCTGTTGATGTGTCAGCCCTGGGTCAACAGTGTGGACTCTGGACGGGAATCCGAAACACACATGAATCAGAGTTACAAATTACAAAGTCATTTATTTTTCTATATCAGTACAAAAAAACAAAAACTTGCGTAGTACCGTAGTACCCAATTGTCATCGGGGAGCAGTTCAGTGAACTTGCATCTGTGGAACACCCAAAAAGTATCTCCATCACACCGATCATTCCTCCATTTCGCCCATGCACTCTCCATGGAGCACAGGAAGCGTGTCGCATTGTGTCACGCAGGAAGTGAACTCAACAGAACAAAGGAACAAAGTTTGCAGTGTGCTGTGTGCAGTGCAGTGCATTGCGTCCACCCTTTGCCCTTTGCAAATTGGATTGAAATGTTAACTACAACCAAAGATGTTCCTTTACATCATGCCTTGGGCCCTGGACCAAAAGCACCACTCAAGTCTTCCTTGATCATCCTAGCCTGTAAGGCTAAACTCTTAACAACATGCTCCGAAAACGTCAATTCACTCAAAGCACGTGTTTTCAGTAGTGTTTTTGGTCAACAGTATGATGGAACATGGGGGAGCCTTCCCCCAAAAGGCTCGTTGACATTAGTACATAATATGCCTCCCTGTCTTGAACTTGTCACTATGGAGCACATGACCATAGTGCAGCATTCTGGTCCTAGAATGCCTGAGCACTCTTGCAGTGTCGCAGTTGTCGGAAGGGGCCATTGCATAGGACGGCCAAGAGCGCGTGAGACCTCTCCTGGTCTGAACCGTCACCAGATGACGAACTCGTACTTGACGATTCTGTCTCATTCTCGCTCTTGAAGAAGCAGAGGCTGAGGAAGCTTTGCCCCGATCGCCGCTATCCACTCGGATGATACAAGGCGTGCTCTTCATCAGCATTCAAGTGGCCTACCAAACCAGACCTAGAAACGCCAGGCTCTACCATAAGTCTGTTGAATCTTTCGTCAGCTTTCTTCTTGTCAGCAACAGACATGTGAGCCTGGTCACCTGCCATGCGACTAGCAGCTTCTCTTACAGACAAACCAACAACGCGTTCAAAGGTCGTAGCAATAGATGTCCTTGCCGAATTGTCAGGGAACACAGCATCTCGAGGTGCATCCAGGATGAACTTGCCGTCGTACACATCTGCCAACATCATAACCATTTGGCGGACGGGATGGCCTGACGCGTCCCCAGTATAGTTTAGTGCAGAACCATGTTCTTTCTTCACATGGTACTCAAGAATCTCGTTTATGTCCAAGGAGCTACCCCATACATTCATGAGCAGAAAAAATAAAGAAAATCCGTTCCGCAGGTGTTCCGCGCAGGTTCTGCGGGGGTTCCGGCAGGTTCCGCGGGGGACTCCGCGCCTTTTCAGGCACCGCGCGAGCGCCCACTGAACACCCACAGAATCCCCATGGAACCCCCGCGGAGTCCCCACAAAACCCTCGCAGAACATCCGCAGAACACCCGTGCAACAGGCGCGGAGCAGAAAAAATAAAGAAAATCCGTTCCGCGCAGGTTCTGCGGGGCTTCCGCACAGGCTCCACGCCGCATGTGCTTCAGCCAGCGCGATCACCCGCGGAACAGGCGCGGAGCAGAACAAAGTAGAGGTAAAAGAGGTTCCGCGGGGGTTCCGCGGAGACATATCTTCAGGAAAATATTGTATTTGAATTTACAGTAAAATTGACTCCATAGAATGGTCTGAATATACTCTTCATGCGTCATAACCTTTGTCACGTCCTTTATGGGTGGAATCTGTTTACAAGCACCTGCCCCAATGATATTTTTCAGGGCGATTCCTCCCAAACTCCCTTATCTTATTCAATATGAACAGGGTGCCATATAAATCTCATCAAAAACAATGACATCAAACCCACTATGGTCATAAATAGGTAGTCTGTCCTCCTTATCAGTTGGAATACTGAAGAATTTGTTAAGTGTTGTTGCTTCACCTTGGATTTCCTGACTCGCTCGGTTATGGGTTGATATAGGCCTACAAGCATTAGCACTCAAAATAACAAAACGTTGAAAATAGATGATTTCAGGGCGCTTAGAGGGGTGCGCAGGGTGGTGCGCGGGGTGGCGCGCAGGAGGGGGGGTCAATTTGACCCTTGAAAAGTGGTAAGAGAGTGGGAGGGAAGGGCACCGAAGAGGGAGAAAAGAACAGGGCAGTGTTGGATGATTTGTGTGTTGACTACTGGTTAAAGAAGTTACCCATATGAGACATCATTGAGAAATACTTCAATTACACTGATGACGTTATGACATCTGATATGCACATAGCATACACCAACTTGAGATGTAGAAGTGTAGCAAATGAATGTTTACGTTTTCAAGAACAATTCTGAAGATGATAGGATGCATCGGATGCATGGTTTACTGTCAAGAAACTACTCGAAGAAAAACATAGATGGGCATAAGGCTCAGGAATTCAAGGCAGGAAGACACATCAATGCTGGGAACTATGTGAACGCGCCCTGGCGCCTCGAGAGGCGTTGTCAGAAGTGCGGTGGGATTTTGAGATAGATGACAAAAGGACAAAAGGGAAAATACGTAGCACGTTTACCGTGCAACGGGTTGACAATGCCTATAATCATTCCAAAGATAACTGTGTGGCATACTGTAGATACTGCACATGTAGTTCTAAATAATCTCTACGTTAGATATATGTCAAAACAAAAAATATTTCTGATATATAAATATATATACATACTGACAGAAGTTATTTTTCTTTTTTTTCAGGGCAAGGCTGTGACCTTGCAAGATGCCAGAAAGAGGGATAGGACTATCACCATGTCAAACGTAAGCGAGTTTTTCAAGAACAACGTAGAAGTCAAAAAGAATCCCCGTGGTTACAACTCGTTCGTCGCACCTCATAATGATCACACACATCAAACAGGTATATGTTTTCCAAGGATGATATAGAAGCACCACAGGAATTCAGGGGTGGTTTGGTCGCCATTGACGTTCTAAGTAAACGGTGGCAGTTCCTATTAAGAGTAAAGAAATTCCTGACGTCATAGCAGGACCCATGGAGGCACTACAGAAGATGGGAAAGAAGCCCCAAATCATATGAGTGAGAGGTCGTTATATTATACAGATATATACTGCAAATATATATATATATAATATATATTATATTTAGCTATATATTATCAATATATATATATAAATACAAACCTGCAAACCAGAAAAAGAAAACACTGTCAAGACGAAATGAGCAAGGGGTCCCGCATTGGCAGCTTGCCCAGTTGAGCTTGTCGAGGCGCTCACATAGCCACTTGGGTTTCCACCAGCGACACTTCCTGCTGCAATGTTTTCCCACTTCCTGCTGTTGAGGTGCTTCGGAGGCTTCGTGCTCCACTGCGCGCTGCGCCTCGCCCTCCGCGAGCTGCAGTTCCCGAAAATCCATGAACATTTGTACCTGGGAGAGTCCTTGGAGAGACGTCATCACCTACAACATACGGCGAAATACGGCGTATGTTTTGGGAGGCTTTGAGATGTTTGACTCTGCTTTGGGAAACTGACAAGTTTTGTCAGGGCTCTGCACGCTTGGCCCAATCTGAGAAGACCTTCCGCGAGAGACTTGGGAACCACGTCCCCGCCCGTGCGTCACAGCAATCCGACAGTTTCAAGAAATGGAGCCAGACAGCTGCGCTCGGAGACTCAGTTCGGAGGTAGGTTACTTAATTTCATGAATCTTTATTCCTGACTGGGCCACGAATATGCACCGTTCAGAGGTTTGCTGGTAACTGATAACTTGTAACTTCGACAGTGGGGTCCAAATCGGGGGGGGCGCGCGCAAGACGTCCCAACTGGCAGCGGAACTGCTCCGCCAGAAAACTGAAAGAAGATGCTGCAACCCTGCAATTACTTCGGGCAGCGCCCACCCAATTAGCGAAGGTCAGTTAGCAAGGCCCTGCGACGCACACCCAGCCACGCAAGAGGTTCTACATTAAGTCACGACAACAACCCGGCAAAACTTGAGAAGCGGACACAACACGTGCTTCGCCCAACGCAACCAACCCCGCACGTTTGCAAGCAACTCAAACTTTCAGAGAAATTCCAAATGCATTGCGCTGGCTCTGATTCACCGTGCCTCCCGGACTCCCGGAGACACTTTTTCAATCTTATGCAGTTTGCGTGCTTGACTGCGCCGTACGTTTTTTTCACTGAGGATTTGCTGCACATAGCGCGACGCTTGTTTTAGCTGACTTGGGCTACCAGGTGTTTACACGGCTTGCGCAGGAGCCAACCGTGTTTTCAGATTTGTAAAAAAACGATATGCGACAAGACCAAGAGTCCCGAGTCCCCTTTTCCATCAAACCATGACTGAGCATGGGGGGAAGGTCACTGGAACCACTTGCGGACACCATCGCGCAAATTCATGTCCATCCTCGTGAGCTAATCTGCACGCAGCTGAGTTGGCGCCCACAAAACATGCATTTTTTCCGCAAATAGGGCCGGCGGCAACGCGTCTTTAACCTGAAGGTCTGTTTCGGGGTATGTTAGCCAGGTATATTTCGGAGGCATGTTTCGCAAATCCACAAGCAACATCTCATTTTTAGCCAGGTATGTTTCGAAGGTATGATTCGGGGGCATGATTCGACCTATGTTTCGGATGATGTTGAACATGCGTCCCGTCTAAAGTGCTTAGCACTGCATTTATGGAAGCAGCCTAGTGACTTTCAACAACTTTGAGTCCGTCAAATGAGGAACGCTACACAAACTCTGGGCTACTTCCAGCTGCTCACAGCGTGAAAAGTGCATGTGTGCTTCGTTTGGCAATCTATTGCCCCATGAGACCCTGGAACTGGGTCTGCGCAAGCGAAGGTGGGGAAAATGTGATCCTGTTGGCCTTGAAGAGAACGATTCAAAAAGAACACACATCGGGAAACATGCCTTCACGCACCTCTTCCGCAAATAGACCTGCAAATAAGGAGCGCAGGGATGCAAAGGGCAATTTATTTGTCATTCCAGTGTTCACTGCATAAACAAGCTTGCTTCACGAAAACTATCCAGGCCGTTTCAACTGTTGCCCTCCTTCCGCCCCTTAGCATTCCCAAACCGGAACACTCAACTTCGGGTGACATGTACGCGTTCACAAGCTCGCTGCTTCGTGCGGCGACCAATCCCTATCCATTAGGCCTCCTTGGAACTGGTCTCCAGAAGCGACGGTGAGGAACCTTTCACTGGTCGACTCGAGCCCGGTGGCCATGTGGAGAGTGTGAGAGTGTCGCTGGTTGCAGCTGAAGCAGCTGAAGCACTTCTATATACCAGCCACCACCCGCTCGAAGAGCCACTGGCATACATGTAGGGTGCTGGGTGGCACTATTCATGTCCCAAGGCGTGGGACACTCTCAACCATGTTTGCCTCCCTCAAAGCTATTTTTGAGTTCACGGCTTGCTGCGCACGCACTGCATTTAAGTTTCAGCGTGAGCCTTCTCTCTCGATTCGTCCGACTGAGCAAATTGAAGCGCTGCACTCAAAGAACCCTTCGCTGGCCAGATGTCCTGTCCCCCATGTCTTTGTAGATAACTTCTCTGCCTGTCCGCAGATACCCGCAGCGTCGATGCCGCCAGCGAGGTTTGGTCTCGGCCCGACCCTTCCACGCGAGCAAACTCACACAACTGCTGGGTGAACTATCACCACTTCATCCTCTGACCACCCAAAGTCCTGTCTTGCTACCATCATGCCAGGAACACGGACATGGCAGATGCCAAGGTCGGCCACCTTCTCTCTGCGCGGCGTCTCTGACATGCCCTCTTCAACATGAAGATGCACGAAACACTTCCCAGCAAGCCTGCCAGGCGTCCAGCGCCTTCACCGTCCCACCCTGCAAAAGCCATGCGTGATCTGGCTTTCAACTGCTGCATGGTTCTCCCGAAGGTGGCGGATAAAAGCTGCTATCCGCTCCCTCAATCGTCGCTGGGCTCTGCGCCGGTCATCCAGTCCTGGCCCCGTCATGAGGCTGATCTCCGAGTCCATTTCATCTGCGCCGTTTGAAACTTTGACCTTCTTGGTTGGCGATGCCCCTGCGGCTGCATGTGCGACAGGGACTGCCACTGGCGCAAGGGGTCAGCAGGGACTGCCTCGATACCCTCCACATGTATACTACAGGCCATGCGGGTTGTATACTACAGGCCATGCGGGTCATTTCCATGGGCTGCAGTTCCCGCCGCTTGGGATACGCTATAATCCTCGCCGCTTTATCCGCTGTCAATGTCACGAGAGAATCACAGCTGGCAACATAGCAAACAGTGTGGGCGTTTCCACACCGCCATAAGTGTATCCACGGAGTTATAAGGGTAGCGGGTAGCGGCATCTGGAAGGCCATACCCGCCCACCATGGTAACAAAGCAAAATCCCTCCAAGTCAAAGCTGCAAAATCGCGTTGTCCAATGCATGCGCTCAAAGAAGTCCAGGAAGAGCAACGCCCGAACTGCCCAAGAAGAAACCCACCTGAAACGTGAAAAATTGCAAAGATCTCACCTGTGTACTCTTGCGGGAACATGTTGTACAATGCAAACAAGTTTGCAAAAGCTGGTGCCTGGTGGAACAACTCCGTCGAAAGGCGGTGAGTGAGGAGTGGTTTGTTGCCTCGCTCGCAAGCTTTGCAAGCCAAAAGGGGAAGCTTGCAACCGAACCTACGACAAGAATCTAGGGAATATAGCCCTGTGTGGTGGTTTCATTCGCTGCTGCACGACGCCAAATTTGCGAGGCGAAGGTCGGAGCGCTATGAGCTGTCGCTGTATGCAATCAGGGTTGCTCCTTTCCCGAACCAAACTCCGAGAAGAACGCTGGACACACTCCAGAACTCTTGCGTCTCCTCTTCAGTCATCTTCAGAGCTTTTTGAAGCATGCCGACTTTGAGGCGCGGCCTGGGGTCATGTTCTTTCTAGCTTGCGAGCGAGCCATTGCGAAAGCCAGCTTTGCAAATGGCATTGACATGGTTGTACCAAGCCCTTGGCGCACGCCGACTGGACTGTGAGCACCTTTTCGTCGGACTTGCCATCAGTCTTTGCCCTTGCCTTTGGCATCTTTGCGAAAGGCGCGCTGCATTTCCCACTCCGGGCAGGTTTTTCCGTCTTGGGGGGCATTCGGGACTCAAGCGGCCAGCAGTCACTGTCCAGGGTTGATGGGATTGGACTGATCCTCTCACGGCGCGAAAGCGGCAGCTCCTGTTCTTCTTGAACTTCGCACGGCCAGCAAGAAAGGCTGATTTGGCCGGTGGATGCTGCAGTTGATGAAACTCATCCCTCTGTGGAAGGCCACCATCAAACTCTCGCGAGGTCACGCTTCGGGAGTTGAAGGCATGCCAATGCGTGACTCAACGCCGGCGCCGCAGTTGATCTTGGTGACATCTACTCGTTCCTGCTCTTCTTCCCCTTGCTTTCAAACGAGCACAAGATTGCAAGAGCGTGGCTGCGTTTGGAGGAGACACTCCTCAAGCGACCACCCCGCCAATCACCTCAAGACCCTAGCACCCTTGGACCTTCGACCTTCCCAAGCGCCTGTAGGGCAAGGGCAAGGCAAGAGTTTCAATGCAAACAAGGGCAGGGGCAAACGAAGCTGTGGAGAGATGACATGATGAAAGGCATCCACCAAAGCCATCAGCATGGGCAAGAATAGCCACACAAAGGCCCTGTCCCAGGAATCACGATTTGTTAGGGACAACCACCGACATTGGAGGTGGAAGCACTTCCAAGCGCCCAGGTTCAGGATTCTCTTTCGGAGGAGGAAAGCGCCCACTCGCTTCAACACCCTCAGCCTAAGGGCCTAAGAATCTGTTCCAAGGTGTGTTTGGGTCCACGGTCGGGTCATCGGCTCTGCTGTCCTTTCTTTCGCGCATCTCCCCCCTTCTTGGGCTCGTCTTAGATCACGCAGTGCTCTGGGCCTGCAAAACGACTTGCCCAGGCCGGAGGTGTTTGAGGAGCTGGTCGCGTTTGACATTGGTCTAAGAACCCCAGGAGGTCGCACGCGCTGTAGAGTGTAGAGGTGCATGCCTCTCACCGCCGCAGTTCAGACAAGCAAAGCGAAAACCGTACGGCTAGGATTCAACGGTCTCCAGTTCCGGGCTGTCGCGCCAAAGCAATGCCTCTATAGGGCTGCTGGAGAAGGCCGTGAAAGCTAAGCGTGCTAATTAGCTGCATCGAAGCTCCAGTCATACTCCGTCGTGTGATCGAAGTTGCGGTGGACGTCGGAAGCGTTCTCCTCGTCCTCCACGGGCCTGCTTAGGGCCAGAACCTTTGCAAAGAACGGCGCGCGGGCAAGAATACATATATATATATATATAATGGCTTCGCGTCGCCAACTGATCACGCTTCGTGCTTTCAAGAACCGTGTCCTTAAACAAGCGAACAAACGATTGAAGGCCTTCTTTTTCCACCAAATCATGGCCCAGCGAAAAGGAGCTTGGGGGATGAACATGGAGATTCATGCAGGAGGCCTGCATCTGTCGCAACAAAAACAAAAGCGCTCCGCTGTTGCTAAAATTGCCGACAGGGTGCTCACAGGTGAAGAGCTGTGCACGGAGAGCCCGCAGAAAGCGAAATATTGCGTGCGCGGCATGAAACATTCAGGCCGGATTTGAAGATTAAATGCACAGAGAAGAGATCAATTATGTACTGTAAAACGCATATATATAATTTACCGTATAATTTTTGTGTATGCGTCTCGATGTATGCGTGCGCACGATCGCATTCTGTACAAAATCTAAGCAAAATCATTGCGCGAGGCGTCCTGGTTGTTGAGCTGAGTCGCACGAGTGGATGTGCACATTGTGGAGAATGGTTGTCAAACTTTTGGGTACCAGCTGCAGTATGTTGCAGTATACCTCCTTCAGAACCCTGCTGGGGAATGCCCTCCAGAACCCGTGCCATGCTCCATGACTTTGCCAGAGCTGAGGACAAACTTATGGCGGATAGTAGCGAAGAATGAAAGGAGAAAGGGCTGGGGTGATGTACATTCGTTGGATCTCGTTGGCTCCAGGACGGGGTGGCATGACTCGCGACCAGCCAGCTTTGCCATACCATGTTGCAGCACACGATGAAAACTCTGCAGTTATCTCCTGCCAATTCAATATATACACGTTATCAGCATCCACATGGCATATTGCTGTCTAGATGTGAACGACATTTCTAGGTAAACAAGATTGACTCGAGCTAACAGCTCATGATGCTGGTGACACACTACACGCTCGTCTCCAATGTTTTACTGGGTTTTTCTCTTGCGCGTTGTGGTCTGCTCGTTGAACTTGGTTTCGGCATTGGTCATGTCCTTCTGCGATATTTCTTCTCGTTGACATGAGCTTGAGCTGCTGTGTCCTGTAATTGTCACGCACTCATCGCATCCCTCTCGTTGTTCCCTCATTTTCCCACCACATCCTCCTTAGGTATGTGTCTTCCCATGAAATGATACTGTAGATTCAGCCCACAGAGCCCGATCAAGCAGCCAAGAATTGTAGTCGATAAATATGGCAAGAAAAGTTATTCAATGGATTCAATGGATTCTCACATATGTGACATGTAGGCACACTCCGCTTGAAAACGAGTAGACATCTGAAAACAAACAAAAATTTCTTCAAACAAAGCAGGACCCACCACATCCCAAAGCCCGTACCAGTCAAAAGAAACAACAAGGAAACAACGCAAAAACATGGCACGTGTTCCTCAGGTTTCATGCGGACAGGACGGGCATCAACAAACCTCTGCCCCGTTCTGTCGCAGGCTCTTTTTCCTCGCCCTGGCCTCTCGGAGAATCGGGCACCGTCGGATTCGTGCCTTACCTCGAAGAGTCTGCAACACTTGACGCCAGCGCCAGCGGATGCAAGGCAATATCCCACAAGGCCACCAATGCGCACAAAACGGCAGCCTCAGGCGCGGCCCAACACATGTGTAGCAAGAAGGATGAAGCCATCACAAGTCATGCGCAGCACCTGATCAGCATCAGAAGTCGTATTTTGGGGGGGTCCGCCTGAACTGCTTGGCAGATTCGGTCCTACAATCAGGTATCCCTAAGTTATTGGATGGTTTTTGTACTTTATTCTTGCCTGCGTTGCATCTTTACGCGCCCAAACTTCAAGCCTGAGCGTGTAAAGTCCTTCGCTTTCCATGGAAAGTGCGGGTTATCTCCTCTAAACATGGTTGGGGGACTCTGAAAGGAAATCCTGCAGAGCTTCGTGAGCGACACGTTCGGGGGGAACGAAAGCTAGCCACTGCGAAGCAAGAGCGGCTCCAGCTAGCTGAGGCTAGCTTCGTGGCCAGCTGGTGAGTAGGCAAGGTAATCTCATGAGCCGCCATACGGATTCTTCTCCACAATGCGTTTTGGGAATTGGCTGATGAAGATGGTGAGGATGATGAGTCAGAGAGGTACCTTGGCTGGGAAGGGGGACGGTGAAGGACAGTATGGGTTGGGGTTTTGCATTTGCTGGGGTGGTAGGTCCGGTAGGTACTCAGAAGAGAAGAAAAGAATAGGAGTCCGAAGGACCATTGTAATTACCGAAGAATTTGGCAGCAGCAGAGCACCTAGCAAACGCAGCAGCAGACCGCCGAGCAGCAGCAAAGCATCAAGCAGCAGCAGCAGCAGCAGCGGTGACTGGGAGGTTCGTGGCGATGATGGGGTTGGAGCACTGGAGTTGGCGGTTGCGCGGGCGCCATCGGTTGCGTTGGCTGATCAGGAAGCGTCGCCGGCGGTGCTGTGGGGGCTGAGCTGAGGAGGACGGATTGTCCTTAAGGAATGCAGTGGATACGCGGCCCGGCGGGCTTGATGAGGGCGATAGCCGGGGGTCTCGGAAGCCATGAATTGCAGCGACGCTGAGCGGGCATTCACGGGGCAATCAGGATTGGAAGGGTCAGAAACGGCTGGCGGGAAGGAGGATGTGGACAAAAACCGGGTAAGAAAACAGGTCTGGTTGCTGTGGAAAGTTGGGGCGGCGAAGGAAAGTTGACAGTTGACAGGAGTCTCTTTTGTTGAACTCGCGCAAAATTTCGGCGAGACACAAATCGGCGGGAGGCTGCGTTGTGAAATGTCTAGGGTGCACTGTCTATGTGATCAATGGACATAGTAACAGTAGAGGCACGCCACAAGTGTGCACGCAAGACACCACAGTGGTCAGGAGTGGAGATTGGGTCAAGGTAGTCCACGGGGTAGAGGTGGAATGGTCACGTGGCGGTGGTGGTGGCGGTGGTGGTGGTGGTGGTGTGAATTGGTGTGAAATATTGACCCCATATCGTATAGTTCGATTTCGGCCACATACTTCAAGCTCTCAATATAAGCATGCTCATGTTCGCTAGGCTGTAGGCCATCCAGGCCTATTTTTGGCCACCTGCGCAAGAATGACGCGCACAAACCAGAGGGTGCGGCAAGAATGACACGCACAAACCAGAAGGTGCGGCATTCGAGAGAACCACGGATCGATGCAGGCCGACCGCTTGGCTCAAGCGCATGAAAAAGTGCGCGACCACAACGGTGGTCTGGGGGGGTGACCTGGTCGCGGGTCGAACGTTTCGTTCACGTGTTTGCAACCAGGTCCTTTTGAACGGTATCTCAACTGAAGTGAATCTTCATATGGTAGCGGAGCCCCAATCGGGGCAGTAGGTTTCTCCACATTTGTTCAACTGTGTTGTCATCCTCACTCTTTTAGGATCTTGAGCCATGGCAACCTCTGGAGGAACTGCAAGCCAGCGCGATCGATCAAGGGACCGTTCGCCATCAAGGCCTGCTTCAGGTCGGCAAGCGCCGGGAGTGCAGGGGGCGGAATCCGACCGTCTCGATCGTTTAGAGCCTGGGATGCAGCCAGTGAACCCGACACCATGTCCTGGAACGCCCGCTGGATTCCCGAATGCACAAGAGTTAGCGCCCGGTGCCACTCAAAACATGCCAACTACAACCCAAGGTGTAAATCCGAATGCAAATATTCCTGTTGATCCGTTGCAAACTCAAGACCCCTGGCGTAATTTCCAAACCCCATCTCAGGAAGCAGGAATTCCAGATCGACCATTTCCTGTTAGTATGCCGACATCACCTGATCGGCAAAAGCCATTCGGTGCGACATCATCGAATGCACAGGCTGCTTCACCTCCGGCGCCGGGTCTTCCAGGGCCGTGAGAATGCTGCTCACTGTCTGCTTCTCCAATCTTGAAGTTGGGGAATACCACAGAGTCACCAACCTTCCATCTTGCGAGGGTCTCTCCGACATCAGTCCTGGCCAAAAGCATTCACCAGAGAGCTGATCAACTTCTACCGTTTTCCCTTCGCTCTCAGCACGATCCCGATGAGCGTGCTTGGAGATTTGGTCCACGGCCTGTTTGTTGGTGACCAGTTGGGTGTGCTCGCAGGAATCCAGTTCTCAAAATCCGCCAAGACTTCTCTACTGCTCACGGTCTTCGTGACCATTAACTCCTCCTCAAGCTCCTTCTGATCATGCAGCTGGTTGTAGTGGTCATTCTGGAGGAGCATCTCTTCAGCTTCAATGTTGTTCAAGATGGCTTCGGTCAGCACCTCCATATAGCATCCTTGCTCAGGGCTGTGATGTCCACTTGCCCCATGTCTTCATTGACATACTCTGCCAAATTCGGTTGCACTGAGCGAAGGAAACGGGCTATCCCAGCTCCCAGCTCCGAGCAACCTGTCACATGAGCACCCTGGGGCGCGCCCCCGCTGGAAGACGTCCGTTCCGGCGTCTTGATAGTCCACGGATCATTGGGGCCAGCTCCCCCCTCCAAGTTCAACATGGACAGCTGTGGAATTGCGGTCTTCTCATGAAGCCGACGGCGACGAATACCATCTTCCCAATCGGCCCTGCGAGGCTGTCAGAAATCTTGGGGAGATGCACCACGACGTCCTCTGCCTTGGGTTGGTCAGCACTGGGAACCCCCACATCGTCTGCCCAAAAGAATCTTTCGCTGTAAGCCGACTGGACATAATAACTAATGTTGGGCATAATAACTGGTGGTGGTCAGTACTGCACGACCAGAAAGGACCTCCACAAAGGCGAGGTTGCGCACCGTGACGTCCTGAGCTTTGCCCACCATATTGCGCCAAGCGGTAAGAGAGGCTCGGCCACGGCATACTGCAGCATGAGCGTCATCAGGCTCTTCACCCAACACCTCTTCACCCGGATCACCACCCCCAGGTTCTGAAGGTGTGTGCTCCTCCATGCCAATGGATGGCAGCGCAGCCGCTGCCGGTTGACGTGCGGGGACACCTTGCTTCCCCCACTCGATGAGCCTCTCCCAGAGCAGCCTGCAGCGCTTTCCCGCGTCACATTCGACTCCACCTCCAAGTCGCCATCGTGAGGAACTGGAAGATCTTCGGGTCGGCACCGTTGAAGCGCCGCCTCAGCCTGGATCCTTTGGAACCACCATGGGTTGACCATCACACCACCTGGTGGAAGTGATCTTGCCCTATCCATGGCAGATGGTAGCTAAGCTTGGGCTCATAACCCTTGAAACTTCACAGGGCAAACTCCTGTTTTCAGGCTCGAACAAAACGCCTGCCGGTGATCGCCACCGATGTCTTCAGACTTACTATTTCTTTCTCACTATGTATGTCTTAATGTTATTTCTTCTTGTCTCTTTCACATTCGTTATTTCTTATTAAATACTTTCACATTCGTTAAATAATTTTTTATAACTATTACTTCTTGCTTAAGTGTTCTTTCTGTCTTTCTTTAGTTCTTTCTTTCTGCATGTTTCCCTTCATGTGCGTTTCTTTCTTGTCTTGTCTTGTCTTTATTGTCTTTAATGTCTTTTCCTTTTGTTTATTTTGTTTATTTTCTTTGCTTTTCCTTTCTTTGCTTTGCTTTGCTTTGCTTTTCTTTCTGCTTGTCTGTCTGTCTGTCTGTCTGTCTGTCTGTCTGTCTGCTTTTCTCACTCACTCACACACTCACTCACTCGCTCGCTCGCTCACTCACTCACTCACTCACTCTCTCTTTCTCTCTTTCTCTCGTTCTCTTTCTCTCTCTCTCTCTCTCTCTCTCAAGGCATGGGATCACCTGTACCAGCATTCAACAATGCACACCATATTGCAAGCAAGGCGCAGCCCACGAGATGATCTTTATAAGCTGTCTTTGCTGGTTTGGCACTCTCTTGTGGGAGTCACTTCGGATGACGAAAATAGGTTCCAGCCAGTCCAAGTAGATTTCCCGCACTGGGCCAAACTGCGCCTTTGCGGGCCACATGCCACAAATGCAGGTTTCACGCAACACATTAACATTGATAGTGAGGCTCTTCTGGTTGTCCTACAGCCGCCTGCTCTGTTGCTTCACCCTAACCGGCAGCCCACTTCAGCTGCAGATCATTCAGGTGTGCAACATATCATATAAATCAACAACTCCCTCAATTAGTTCTGTTCCTCTGTTGTTTGTAGGCAAGATGGGGTGATGCTCTTTCAAATTGCAGACTCGTAGACTCTGCTTGACTGCGTTGAAGCCTGCGGCCAAACAGCAACACATACGGTTAAACAAAAATACAAATTGCGGCTTGAACACTGCAACTCCGCAACCAATTACTGCAACCACACCGATTCGGAGGAACCATGTGTTGAGGTGTGGGTAGGACAGAATGATTGAAAGGGCCGTCATCACATCCATGGTCAAGCAGACCTTGGTAACGATTGACTCTGGCGACTTGCTCTACCAATGTCAACAAACCATGCACAAGCAGCATTAAAAGGCATGGGTTGCGTACTGCAACTGAGCAGCGAAGCTCTCACTCTTCTCTGGCGGCAGGGCAACGTTGGCAACTTTTGCAGGCGAACGGGCACTGGCGACGACAGCAGCAATGAATGCCATCGACGCCAGGGTGTACATGAGATTCTGCCACCAATATGCATGGCCAGGAGCCTCTGCACTGGACAATGAAAATGGCTCAAGGCAACTTGAGAACTCGCAAGGGCATCTTTGACTCACCAATACCCATCCCCAAAAAACATCAAAAACCTTCAAAAACACACCATGTCCCAAGCACCAAAGGCCCCCTCCCCTTCAAGCTCAAGCTTAAGCTGTCTAGGCAACACAACGCCTCAGCACCTTCGGCGCGGGCGGATTTGTACATTGATTTAATGGGGCCTCCCATCTGGGGCCCCAGGGTGGATGGGGCCCCAGAATAGTTTTTTTGCAGAATGGCAGGCCCTGGAAGTGCACTTTTTCATCAATTTTCAGCCATCTCGAGATGCATTTTTGTATTTTTCAAGGGTCTACTCAGCTGAATTGCCAAGGACATCTCAACTGCTGTCCTCTGACAAAACGCAGAGTACAAAAAATACAAATAAAAGAACACCACCAAAAATAAAACACACACACAATCCTGACAGACTCTTTGGACACCCCCCCACCCCCAGTCCAAGACAGACCTCCCAGGAAGTTGTTTTTTATTTTGCTTGCTTTTGTTTTTTTGATTTGGGGGGGTGTCCAAGGTACCAAAAAATAACAATAGAACACAAAAACAAATAAAACCGAAAAAACACTCCCCCCCTAAAAAGAAAACACACCCACAATCCTGACAGACTCTTTGGACACCCCCCCACCCCCAGTCCAAGACCTCCCAGGAATTGGTGTTTTTGTTGTTCCCCACCTGCCAGGTGAGGGTTGTTAGATTTTATCACAGTTGTTCTTCCTCCTCCTCCTCCTCCTCCTCCTTCCTTCCTCCTTCCTCCTTGCTTCCTTCCTCGCCAATCTTCATCGCCTCGCCAATCTGCATCGCCAATCTTCATCGCCAGTCTGCTTCGCCAATCTGCTTCGCCGATCTTGTCTGGCCAGCTCCGGATCGCAGTGTGCACCCCTGGACCTCAACCGCAAGGATCCCCTCGCTGTGTGCACCCCTGGACCTCAACCGCAAGGATCCCCTCGCAGTGTGCACACCTGGACCTCAACCGCAAGGATCCGATCGCAGTGTGCACCCCTGGACCTCAACCGCAAGGATCCGATCGCAGTGCGCACCCCTGGACCTCAACTGCAAGGATCCGACCGCAGTGTGCACCGCTGGACCTCAACCGCAAGGATCCGATCGCAGCGTGCACCGCTGGACCTCAACCAGATAGTTTGCCAGATAAAATGCCAGATAGAATGCCAGGTAGATTGCCAGATAGAATGCTGCAAGAAGATATGCCAGATAGTATGCCAAATAGTGTGTCAGATAGATTGCTAGATACATTGCCAGATAGAATGCCAGAAAATATGCCAGATAGAATGC